GAAACTGGGTCAGAATGATCTTGTATATTTGTTTTGAAACTGGGTCAGAATGATCTTGTATATTTGATTGGAAACTGGGTCAGAATGATCTTGTATATTTGTTTTGAAACTGGATCAGAATGATCTTGTATATTTGGTTGGAAACTGGGTCAGAATGATCTTGTATATTTGTTTTGAAACTGGGTCAGAATGATCTTGTATATTTGGTTGGAAACTGGGTCTGAAGGATCAATGTGTATTTGCTGTTTGGAACTGTTAGAATGGTCGTGTACATTGTATGTCTTCAACTGTTTCATAACGAACTTGTAAATTCGATGTTTTGTAACTGTATCAGAACGATCTTGTACATTTGATATTTGCATAAGTGTCAGAAAAATCCTGAAAGGACAAAATGACCCGATATTTCTGTGGACACGCGCCTGTTTACAAATCAACTGTGTCTTTGTTTACAACTCGATTGTGTCTTTGTTGTTGATAAAAAAAATTCTTCCATTATGTTCACGTTCATGTGTTGATCTAGGCATGCCTTATTATACAAGTGAACGTTGGCATTACATTGTGCCTTATGCTAATCATCCGATTTTGATATCTATTTTTATACATGTGTTTGTGCGTGTGGGCAGGTGCAGCAGAGGTGAAGGTTTAGCATGTTAATTAATTGTGACGTTAAATAATGTGAGAGAAATGTGAATGGAGGAGATTGAGGAGGAGGGGGGAGAAGGAAGAATGGAGGAGATTGTGTTGATGATGTTACTTATGTGTTCTGATATGAAAAGTGCAATTAAATTTTCCTATGATTTAGGTAAATTATTTGATAAATGCCAGATTTATATTTCATTTCTTCTGTTTTTACTTGATGAGAAATGCAATAAAATTAAAATTATTGTTAGATCTTGTTTTTGAAGTTTTTAGTTTGTTTTGTTTGTTATAAAATTGTAAGAACTGCTGTCAATTACGGCGTGGTCGTATGGTAGGGCGTTTGAGTTCGGATCCAGGGCTCGAGTCTATAAGACGTCACTGAGTCCACCCAGCTCTAATGGGTACCTGACATACATTCGGGGCAGTAAAAGCGGCTGGGCATAGCTCAGACCACACTGTCCCTTTATATGCCGAGGTCACTGAAACAGGTGAGCTCTACTTCACCTGCCACAATACCGAGGTCACTGAAACAGGTGAACTCTACTTCACCTGCCACAAGGGCCGTAAGGTTCGAAAGATTCCTTTCAGTACCCACCTACATTTTCCCTTGACCAGAAAATAGAGTGCCGAAGACTTGTCTTCATAAACCAATGTCTAGAACAGATTTCTCCGTGTTTTATTTACTAGCCTAAGCCAGACACGTTGTCAAGTCGGTCTATAGCTATCACATCACAGTAGAAGCAGCTTAAATCTGAACTTAATTAGTGGATCACTGTTGTACAAAGGTCATGGACAGGCTATACAACCTGATTCTGGTTAAACAGTCAGTCACTGATTTCTTCTGGTTTAACATCAAATGAATGTTGTACTTATCAGCTATACTATAAGTTGATTGGAAGGGGGGGGGGCGAAATGCATCGTGTTAGTGATGTATAAAAAAATGAGTACAGAAAACGTAAGTCAAGATTAGAAGTATTTTAACGCTTTTGGTTTACAAGGAGGGGATTTAATGTTCCAGACTTTGATTAAATACAGAAGTGACATTGATGTGATTGTGAGTGTGTACTAAACACACACTCACACACACTTACACACACTCACACACAAACCTGGATTGGTTCAACGTCTGATGACCTTGATATTGCCTGATGACCTCGATATTGTCTAATAGGCGCAAACAAGAGCAACGCTCAAATTTCAACCATTTGATTATATCGCCCGGCCATTATGGGAACAAGGGTACCGGGGAAGGATTTCAACAGCAAGTTCTCGATTAACAAGAATGCATAGTTAGCAAAACAAGTGGACACATTGACAAGCGCACAATACGATTTAGGAAGCATGTGAAATTTACGTACAATAGTTTTAACAAACGTATGTTTGTTTTTTTTTTTTTTTTGTTTTTTTTTAAAGATAGATCCAGGACGCAAAGGGGAGATCCGCGGTTAAGCAGGTACCCGGGTTAAAAGATTACCTGAGTCTAGCTTGTGGGGTAGGCTAGTGCGGGTATAGAATTGCCCCCCCCCCCTCTACCCCCACGGGTACATATGGTGGGGTGAGACAAATCAGCTGGAACTCGCTGGGCGACAGTTCTTGCTCGTGTAATACGAACTTAATAGAGTAAGCTCCTTATGTTTTACTTAAGCTCTTGATTCTGTACGATAATTCTTCACGCTGTACCTTAAGCTCCTTATGGTCTACTTAAGCTCTTTAAGCTGAATAGATTCAGATTTTGTGTCGCCACTTGACTTGTTGAGAGCTACGTCACTGCTTTTGTCACACCTCGACGTGGCGCCAGGGGTCAAAGGCCATGGGTCAGGGGCCATGGATCAGGGGCCATAAGTCAAGCGCCGATGGTTCA